TATGAACTGAGATCTGCTGTAAAATGTTACTATTAACTGTTACTGGTGACCTGCTTGTTAGCAAAATGTTTCATCAATATAAAGGATGGATTTAAATKAAACWTTCAGAAAGTGATCAATGGGTGTACATCTGCAACTGGTTGATTTTTAGTCAATMCAATTTAAGCTGTCCTTAACATCCAGTCGACTGTAGTTATTATCCAAATTCAATAATTCTGTCATTTCAAAAACATTTTTTAGCTAAACTTTGGAAAGACAGTAGAGCATCATCCCTAAATCACACTCAGACATACATTGTGCAATATTTTAGCTTAAATAAGTGTGTCTTCTGTCATCAGTCCTGTCTGTTACCAAAATATCTCATCAACCACAGGACAATTTTAATGAAATATTCAGAAAATAATCACTTGATGTACAATTGATCTTATAGGGCCCATTACAGCTAATTGACTTTAGCCAATACAAAAATGATTATAACTATGACCAGGGGTGTCACTAGGTTTTAAGGACAAGGGGGCTTAGCCCCCAGGAGACGCACAGAATTTTTGTATATTATATACTTGTATTGTGTGTGTGTGTGTGTGTATGTGATGTATGTATGTATGTATGTATGTATGTATGTATGTATGTATGTATGTATGTATGTATGTATGTATGTATGTATGTATGTATGTATGTATGTATGTATGTATGTATGTATGTATGTATGTATGTATGTATGTACAGTATGTACAGTGCAAAGTTTCATTTCAGTAACATTTATTTAGAGAAAAATACCTACACTTTCAGATTATTATTATTTTCCATAGTTATTTTTAAATCATTCAAAGCCAAATAATATTTACATCAAATCAAACGTACCCCAAAACTGAACATTAAAACCATTTTACACTATAAATTAAAGGGAAACTGACAGATTTATGATCATATATTTTAGTCAATAACGAAATATTATTTATTCTGACTACGTCATATTGAATTTTTGTAAAAAGAAAAATAAATTAATAAATTTTAAAAAAATTATACCAAAATAATTTAGGGGGGCTTTAAAATATTTTAGGGGGCTCCAGCCCACCTAAAATAGGTCTAGTGACGCCACTGACTATGACAATTTAGGTGTGGTTGTAGCTGAGAATCACCCTCGACACACTGACACTGATAGATCACCTGATATATTGCTCAAAATCAAACATAATGATTTTTACAAGGTTTGACCAAAACTACTTTAGCTCTGTTCCTTTTCATTATATACTGAGCTCAGCTTAAAGCTCTGGCATGGCACTGGAGCAAGATGCTTAAAACTCATTTTCACAAAGGGCCACAAGAGTATTGTGTTGGCCCTTAAAGGGAACAGCTGTTATTAACTTTGACCAAACGTGAAATCATGTTCTTCGACTCATGGCTACAACTGAACACTGCTTACAAGCAATATTTGAGCTTTATGTGGTATTTTGTGCACAGAAACAACATTTTAACATATCTTCTTATGAACACTAAAAAGTAAAAAATTCCCTCTGAATAGTGAGTGAATAAGTGGAAAATTCCCACTTACAACTGCAGCAGAAATAGCCAGCAAAAATGCACTGAAATTGAGATTTTACATGGTGAATTTTGCCATCTACAGTACTCTTGAACCCTGTGCATCTCCAACTAGTGGTGGGATGCCATCATTTTGTGGATAAACAACTGAACTAACTAAATATGAACTAACTAAAAAAACATTATGGGAGATGTACTGTAGTTTCTAATCAATGCTGGCTTTAAAGCTTTTAATTTTAAGATATTAATACATGTTTAAAGTTCTTGCTGGCCACATAAAATGTTGCGGCGGGCCACATTTGACCTGTGGGCCTTGAGTTTGACATATGTGATTTATGCATTTTTCCTAGTTTTTCTCCTGCTTCCTTCTGATCACCTAAGAGCTGTCATGTTTGACCTGGCAAAAATGTCCATCACAACAGGAAGCATCCAGGTTCCATGCCCGGGTAAAAATCCAACTCATACAAACAATAAGATGCCTGAGTCCTGTGACTCTGCATTCATCACATCCACCTCTAGTGTGAAATTACAAGAAGCAGAGACTCAGCTGTCACCACATACTTTTCATCCCCTCTTCAAATGCACAAAGGAAGAAAAAAGTCAAGGTGGAATTTCTGCTGCCAATAATAGTTTCTATTTTAAACTCTTGAGGTAATTTGTCTTTACTGTAAATCCAGCCGTTTGCAACAAAGTCCTCTATTATATAAAATGAGAAATGCAAGCGCACAACCTGTATTTCTTCCTTCAGGAGGTGGTAAGGAGTTTTTTTTTCTCCTTTGTTCTTGCTTGCATGTGGCAAGAACAAAACGAGAATGCCTGACACCTCAAATGACGTATAAATCCTGTTAAACCAGAMTGTAGAGTGTGACAAAACACAGGGAGGAGCTTCTTTCAGTCGTGAAACCAAAAAGAGGGTTTATCTGCTGGGAGGGGCAAACAGGAACAACCGATCAGAAGGCTGGTAAATTTTTAATTGGGTGGAAATTTGCTATTTTTATAATGCTGGTGCAGCATGAAGTCATTGCTTGAGATGTCCATTTCAAAGAAGTGAAAGCAACACTTCCTGTTGGATGACTTCGGGTTTTGTTCCTCTTGGAGACCTCAGTGCTTTTGGCTGGAACAGGAACTTTGTGTAGATCAGTTTAAGCTGTCACCGAAAGAAACATCAATTCATTTTGTGTTTAGCTTCAGTTTTGTGTCAGATAATTGCCCCATTTTTTTCCTCAGTAATTCTTTGCTCCTGACATTTGTGATGGTGATGATATGGTGACTAACTCCTGGGTTTTGTTCAGTAATCCTTGTCAGCACTTAGCCCTCACTGCTACGTCATTTGCTACCCTTGTTTTGAAACTATAAATAGCTCCTGAGGAACTTGACAGAAAAGCTGSCAGTTGACCATCCCTCAGTTGTGATGACTTAGCACCACATGATTGTATGGTTTGTGTTGAACTAGTAAGGGAATTTGTGCCTCATTTGATGAGCTCATAAACGTATCGCACTGATACCCTCTGTGAAAGTCCCAGGTTTTGTCTTCCAACCTGATTCGTAAAGCTTTTTATATTTGAGGGATAAGAGGAAGGGACACAAACTGAAACTGCAGCACTGATTGTACTATTTCTTGTTTTACTTTCAACACTGATAGCCWACATCGTCTAGTAAATGGTAAAGGTATAACAGATGAAACAGATTGAAATGATATGAAATATTACATTCAGAGAAACAAGATTTTTTTCAAAAGGTACCACAGTTTATATTTACGTAATTGTTTAAATGTATTCTGGTTAAATTTGAAGATTTTTTCTCTGGATTAGTGTTGTAGTCAAGACCACAAAACCCGAGACCAAGTCAAGACCAAGACCACCGTGTCTCGAGACCGAGACAAGACCAAGACTTTTAGGGTTTGGACCAAGTCGAGACCAAGACCAAGGGAGGGCGAGACCGAGACAAGACCAAGACCAGAAAAAAGTCCCCTAAATGATGGAGTATTCTGTACACATATACAGTGGGGAAAATAGTATTTTGTCTCTCATAGTTGAGGTTTAACTATGATGTCAATCACAGGCCTCTCTCATCTTTTTAAGTGGGAGAACTTGAACAATTGGTGCAGACTAAAAACTTTTCCCCCCACTTTAGCTAACTTAATATGTAGAGCTAATATTGACAAAATCTTTGTTTGAGGGCAGAGGAAAAAATGTTGCTACAGAAGCGGAATGTTAACGTTAGTGATGGTAAAAGTTTAAAGTTGTCCCCACCGTCTCTGAAAGTAAAGCAATGCCAGATTTACAAGTTGCTGTACGCTTTCTCCTGGTTGTTGTTGTTGTTGTTGTTGATATTATTTATGAATAATGTAGCCAAATTTTTTACTTAAGATTTTGAAGACATCCTTTATCGTTCCCAGAGAACCACGGTTCACTTTCTGGGAGTGCTGCATGCAAGTGATGTGGGGTGCGGATGGGTTACAGCCTGCAACAAAAATACATAAATAGCAACGAGTCAGGTTTGGATTTGAATCAGTATGTTAAGCAAGATTGTTAACAAATAAACTGAACAATAATCTGGCTATTTAGTGATATTTCCACAGTTGTGGTCTTGACTGGTCTTGGAATAAAATTCCGAGTCCTCAATGTCCGAGACCGAGACAAAACCGAGTACAAATGCTGTTGAGTCCGAGACAAGTCCAAGACCATCAGAAAGTGGTCTTGAGACCAGTCTTAAGACCAAGACCGGTTTCAAGTACTACAACACTACTCTGGATAGTTTATGAATTAAGTTGAAGCGACAGAAAGTGGTGGTGTTCTGTCAAATACTCCTTTATAAATCATTAGTAACTTATCAGATCAGTCAAAAAGCACAAAGTATGTAGAAAGAGGCAAAGTTCTTTATCCTGCTACTGATAAGACAGAACATTACTTTAAATGATAAGACTCTTATACGTTGCTGGTGGTTTTATGAATGGCTACGTTGTAGAAAAAAAGATTTATGTCTGACAGGAAAGATGAGCTTGTAGTCTGAACTCAGCCAAAAGCAAGGTTTCAGCAGATCACTGTTTCATTTTATTTACCTTGTCAGTTATCTTCTTCAAACTGAGGTGGATCAAAATGTTTTTTAAATAATAGATTAGACATTAAATGTTACACACAACAGCTTCCTTCAAAATGGCCTTAATACTCACTGTGAAACTTATGTTATTTGTTTTACTTTCAGCTTGATGTGTGCTGATAAGGGTGTCAGGTTCAGGTCAAGGTGCGACATGGAAAACTGTGATGTTATATAAAAAACAGATTTCATCTTTTTCCATTATGAGTCTTTTTTTTTTTTTTTTTTTTTTGATTCGGTATCTAGTCCCGGTCCTATCTGTGTGATTGCCAAGGTGTTCTTCTTTTACCTGTCTTGTCTTGGGAATCCACCTGTCTGACGTCACGCGCTCGCGCGCTCMCTAGCTTAAGCGGCGCGCGGCGCAACCTCGCAGATGACCAGAGAGAAGAAAGCTCAGCGAGCACAGCAGGGCGACTCCTGCACTTCCTCGATTTAAAAACAACTAGGACTTCAAAGTCAGGGAGACCCGTGCTTTCAGCTTTCAGTGCGAGGCGACCTCCGAGCTGAGTGTCCACAGAGAGAGCACAGCTCGGACCGAAGAGGTGAGTTCAGCTTTCAAATACAACTACTTTAATCTGACGCGTTAAAGGCCACCTCTGCGTTTTTGTGGCAACTTGAGACAAAAGGTTCCCAGCAAACACCTGAATGTGGGCCCCACATGGGATTTACTTGGGCTATGGGGGTTCCAAGTGGGCATGGGCTTACAATGGGCTTCCTATCNCAGTTAGGAATGGGTCATTCTAGGTTTTACTGTATGAAGTTAATTTTAATCTCAGTTGTATCTCAAATCTGATATGAAAACATGCACTAATTTTACTTTTTGTTTTTTTCAGGACCAATGAATGAAGATCTGTGGTCTGTGGTTTGCAGCACTTACCTGTTTTATTGTGTTACAGTTGC